TTTTTTTTTTTTTTCTGTGTCTGTAATTGTGCTTTGAGCTGTGTCTATTTGGCTTTTTGTTCTTGTTGTTATTTTTATATATTTATTAGTGCCATGGTAATGTTATTTTGGTTTTTACTTTGTTTCCATAGAACTGAAATCTCCATTTTTTCCCCCTAGATCATTATCTCATTGCATCATTTTCTCTCTGGGTCCCCGTATGTTGAGTTCATGTTCTTATTAACCTGTTCTATACCTCAAAACACTCAGGGGAAACAATATGTTCTGCTAGTTTGCTTCTTAGATTTAGAGCTTATGATGAAAATTCTTAAGATTTTTAATAACTCAAGGATCCAGGGTGAGCACACAGTTGGAAGTTACACTGCTCGAAAATCTCCTCTTTCTTGCTTGTCCTTCACTTTTTGAAGTATGTGACATTAGGCTGTACTCACTTCCTTGTTTGCTTGCTACTGCTGACTTTTTTGCCGGGTTTTCATTATTTCTGTTTATATTTTATTGTATTTAAAAACTTTTTTAAAGTTTATTTATTTATTTTGTTTTTTTTTTTAATTTTTTTTCAATGTTTATTTATTTTTGGGACAGAGAGAGACAGAGCATGAACGGGGAAGGGGCAGAGAGAGAGGGAGACACAGAATCGGAAACAGGCTCCAGGCTCCGAGCCATCAGCCCAGAGCCCGACGCGGGGCTCAAACTCACGGACCGCGAGATCGTGACCTGGCTGAAGTCGGACGCTTAACCGACTGCGCCACCCAGGCGCCCCATTATTTATTTATTTTGAAAGAGAGAGACAGAGAAAGGGAGAGAGAGAGCAAGCAGGGGCGGGACAGAGAGAAAGGGAGAGAGCACAGGGCCTGATATGGGCCCCAAACTCACGAACCATGAGATCATGACTGGAGCTAAAACCAGGAGCTGGGCGCTTAACCGACTGAGCCACCCAGGTGCCCCATGTTCATATTTTAGATACTGAGGGAGGAGAATCTTTTTGTTTTCATTCTGTTCATCTTCCTTCAAAAGTTTATATTGTTTATAGTTATTTATGCTCTCTATAAAGTCAGGAAAAAGTGATCTTCATTTAAAAAAAATCAATGAGATCATGTGAGGTTCATTAAAAACCTTGAAGTACTATGCAAATGCTATTTTTAAAAAGTGAAATCATGGAATCTTTTTTTTTTTTTAAGTTTATTTCTTTTGAGAGAGAGAGAGTTCGGGAAAGCAGGGTAGGGGTGGAGAGAGAGAGCGAGAGAGAGAGAATCCCAACCAGGCTCTGCACTGTCAGCACAGAGCCCGACGCAGGACTCGAATTCATGAGCCGTGAGATCATGACCTGAACCCAAACCAAGAGCCAGACGCTCAACCGACTGAGCCACCCAGGCACCCTGAAATCATGACATCATAAGGTTGGAATAGACCTAGGATCTTGTGTTTTAATCCCACACCCAATTCAGAAACCCTCCAACGACATCCCCAGTGATGGCTTCCGCGGCCCTCTGTGAGATGACTCATTTCTTGGCAAAGCCTGCTGTTCAGGGGATGGACAGCTCTCAGAAATTGTAAGTACGTCGATCTCTGAAGGCGAAGTGTGCTTTCCTGAACTTCAACCTATAGATTCTACCTCGGCTTAGCAGGTGGCATAATGGACGGCACTTGAAATTGTCACAATGGAGAGACACTGGCAGACTGAAAACAAAAAATAATAATGAAAAAATGTACGCGCTTATATAGGAACAACACGGATCACAAAGACTGGTGTGAATTATTTTCTATTTGTACCCCAAAACCCGGCAGCAAAAGTGATTTTAGCTGTGAAACTGACGGGTTAACTTTGTAGCAAGTATTTTTTTTTTTTTAATCTGGATTTAACTGAATTCGACAAAATGTTGTTCCAAGTTCATAGATAGTTGCTCCCACAATCTTAAAAAAATTAAAAGGAGTGTTGCTGATATCTGGCCATTTATTGCCTCCCTCTGCCTCTCAGGCTGCTGAATAAGCACTTGTTGAGTGAGAAACACCTTTCCCAGTGTTCAGACCACTTTTCAGGAGGAAACAACTGGAGGACCACTTCCTAATCAACACACTTCTGGGTTGAACTGGCAAACGACCCATTTGAAACGCGGTTGGGATGAATAACTGTTCTTGTAGCCAAATGCTTTCAAAATACTTCAAGAAAAACCTGTCCAACGATGCTGATTCTAGCCTACAGCAGAAACACATTTATATTTAATACACTTGTTTGTATTTTCGTCAGCTCCAATTTCTCTTCAAAAAGCTTAGGAGTCTCTGATGGTCTTTTGTTCTCCTCTCGAGAGTAAATGTTCCTAAGGAATTCGCATGGTACTTCCATCCTGATGGCTTAGGGGCTAGATAAGAAGCAGATGCAGGCACAGGGGTGGTGTAGCGACCCAAAGTGGCAAAGGTCAGGAGACCCCTGACTCTCTCCAGCCCCACCCCCGCCTGCACTGAAGGCAGACACACTTTGTTCATTCTTCCCACAGCCCCCATAATGAAGGGTGATGTCTCTGGGATTGGAAAAGCCCTTGAGACCCTTTCATGGAGTTTTACTTTTATTGCTTATTTATTTTGAGAAAGAGAGAAAGAGTGGGGGAAAGAGGCAGAGGGAGAGAGAGAGAATCTTAAGCAGGCTCCACACTCAGCACAGAGCCCCATGTGGGGCTCGATCCCATGACACTGTGATCACAACCTCAGCTGAAATCAAGAGTCAGACACTCAACCGACTGAGCCACGCAGGTGCCCCTGGAGTTTCATTTTTAGATCAACGTACACAAACTAGGTCATCCTTGTCCAATTCCACACTTTCAAAGAGCATTTCTTACAACCTTAAGTATTTTTCCCGAGTACTGGGTCAAATTGTCTCAGTGACAAAGGTGATGACCTCAGGCTTTTTTTTTTTTTTTTTTTT